AATATTTTTAAGTAATTTGTGAATGAAAAATAAAATGGCTTTATTTGTTATGACACAACTTTTTAGTTATAGTATCACGAAATAACGACTAACGAACAATAATTCAATTTACTTTGCTAAATTGATTAATTATCTAAATAACTGTGTCACATTTGGTGTTTTTTAGGGAGAGTAAATATAGTTTTTGTTTGGTCAAAATTCCAAGGCCACTTGTTCATTTATTATTCATCAGCCGTAATTAAAGTAACACATTACAGTTAGATCAAAATAGAAGATTAATTTTGAATAAAGGAAAATTATATAAATGATAACATAATAATAATTTGTATACGCCCACATTGAAATGTGGTCATATATTGTCGTCGACCCTGTCCGTCCATCCGTCTGCCCATACGTACGTCAGTCTATCTGTTCATCCACAATTTGTTTGTGGACACTCTACAGGTCACAAATTCTTATCCGAATTTGACGAAAATTTAAATATAGGTTTATTTCCATAAGATCTCGATTGGTTTTGATATTGGGATGTATCGGATTGAAACTTCAAGGATTATGGCCCCTGACTGTACGAAAAATCACGTTTTTAGCTTATGGGCACAATATAGAGGTCACAATTTTTCTTAGATTTTGATGTATGTTCATAACCCGAAGATCTTGGTTCCCCTTTTGATATTCACGCATATTGGAACATATCTTCCTGGATAATCACATTATTTTTTTAGCTCGTTCCCTGTCCATCTCTTGCAAAATGTGGGTGCATCTTGCATTGCAACCGCTTGTTTTGTTGTATTATAAGGTCTGTCATTGAATCAACAGGCGTGGTTTGGATTCCCTGGTTGTACATGACAAGGAGTAGGGTCAGCTGTCCAACCTCGTGGGTTTCCTCCGGTTTCCTCCCACTGGTAAAGACCCCTACTGGCAAGCGAATTATTGAATTAAATTTGAACCATATGTTAGTCCCGAAATGACGTAGTTTATGTCTCTTTTTCAGCTTAGATTAACATTACTATTTAATGCTCACTTTCCTCTTCTCTCCCCTCCCCCCTCTTCCCTGCGCTGCTTTCCCCAGCTCTCTCTGTCTAACGATATGTTAGTCCCAAAATGACCTAGTTTGTGTCAAGTGGACATTATACTCTCCCTCTCTCTCTCTTTCTTTCTTCTCTCTCTCTCTCTCTGACACAAATTAAACAATAGAGTACATCAGAGAGTATAGTGTTGTCTCTCCATCATGGCTCCTGGTTTCAGTCAGGGGGGGGGGGATGGCCGAATGGTTAGCACGTGCGTGCTGTATCATAAGGCCTGTCATTGAGTCAACTGGCGTGGTTTCGAATCCCCGGTTGTACGTGACAAGGATTAGGGTCGCCTGTCCAACCTTGTGGGTTTTCTCCGGGTCCTCCGGTTTCCTCCCACTGCTAAAGACCCCTACGAGCAAGCGAATTATTGAAATAAAATTGAACCATTTGTTAGTCCCGAAATGACCTAGTTTTTGTCGAGTGGACTTTAAACCCCATTTCTCTCTCTCTCTCTTTCAGTCAGGGAGATTTTACGATAGGAATACACCTACCTACCAACACAATCACTCATAGGAATCAAAATGTAAATGATTGATAAAATTAAACATCTATTTATTGTATTGGTGCAAAATCAGTGTTAAACATTAAGTCACAGCATATATAGATTAGCATGAGGTCCCAAGGCTCATGGAGGCCCTCGAATAACTGCCTCTATTCCCATGCGTTTAGATGACCCTGTTTTCAGTGATATTTACCAGTTGCTAATTGTGACTGATATTGACTGACTATCGGACTTGTCTGTCAGTCACTTTACAAGTCATAAAATTATAATAATAATAATAACAATAATAATGATAATAATAATAACAATAATAACAATAATAACAATAATAATAATAACAATAATACTAATAACAATAATAATGATAATACTCAATTTATATAGCTCAAAAATACTTTAGGGCAGTTTCTATTGCTGCACAGTCCTGGGCCTGTAAGGATACAGACTTAGAATCTCGGTCAATTGATTTATTGGAAGACCAACAACTTGATACACAGCAACCATTTCTGCTTCATTTCACAAAAACAATATTTTATCTCGGGGGAAACCTGATGAACGTCATGAATTACAATAAATACATGCATCATGGTTTCACAAAAATAATATCATTGTGGTAATATATTCTGTAATAAAACAACAAATATATCAATTCACACAAATGGCAAATGTAAAAATGTGCCATTATTTTGATTATTGCGTAAAAGAATTAAAAGCATTCTGTAATTTTCTTCTGTTAAAAAAACAAAACTATTAGAGACAGGAATGGGTGACCCATGACTTTGTATGATGAACAAGATCCAGACCAGGTCCCTTACAAACAGTATTTATATGTGTGTTCGAGGGAGTGGGGGGGGAGGGACGGGGCTCCCAGTGCTTCCGAGTAATATTGGGCTGTGTAGAATAGGTAGAGGTTAGGTCCTTCATGGAGTCAACTGGTGTGGTTTTGATTCCCTGGTTGTACGTGATAAGGAGTAGGGTCACCTGTCCAACCTCATGGGTTTTCTCCAGGTCCTCCCACTGCTAAAGATCCCTACGCGCATGCAAATTATTGAAATAAAATTGAACCATGTGTTAGTCCCAAAATGACCTAGCTTGCGTCGAGTGGACGTTAAACCCCATCTCTCTCTCTCTCTCTCTCTCTCTCTCTCTCTCTTTGTATTCCTGATTGTTTTCAAATTTGAGTGAAGTCTGTGTCACTACAGACCCGGGACTGTACAGCGCAGTGGTGCACACTATATATACTCAGAAACAATATAAAAACTGCGGAAATGCACTGCTGTTTTTATTAGAGGTAACCAGTGTATGTTAATAACAGGCCAATTGCCTACACATGAACATGAACAGTTCATATGGGCGGCTTATCTGACGGCCCCATTTCACTTGCAAAGAGATAAGCTGTCAAAAGTGAAAATGGACGTTTTTGATTTTTGTCTTAATATTGAGTAATTGCTCCACCAATCCTCAGGCATTCATCAACCCTTCCTTGAAGTGTGAAATTTAAAAATGAACCCCTCCCACGTGTATGGCGCTTTTGCGTGTCGCATGTGCAACTCAGTGGTTCTGTTGGGGCAATAAGTTCTTCATCTGTGAATATACTCTCAAAGCATGTCAAGTGTCCATGACTATTTATCATATGACAACCTGCATAGGCATTTGCATTTTAATATCCCCTACTTTTTTTTTTAACAGTATATATTGTTTTGTGATTTGCTGTGATAGTTATATAGAATACAGAATTGTCTGCAAAAATATAAAAAATAACTGATTTCTATTCTTTCTTTCATATTGTTTTATGACTTGATTTTTTATGATAACAATAAAACTATATTGTTAGCAAAAATATCAAATGTAAATTATTTATTTCCATTTATTTTCTTCCATTTACTGTGATATAAACTGATTTAATATGATAGCTATAAAAATATATATTAATCAAGTATTTATGTTAGGAAATTAGTAAAAAAAACAATAGAAAATAATAGCTTGTGAGGTAATGTGCCAATAAAGTAGTGTAATGTATAATATAATATAATAGCCCATGGTGTAATGTGGTATATAATATAATAGCCCATGGTGTAATGTGACAATAAAGTAGTGTAATGTCTGATCGTAAAGCGAGGGGGGAGGGGTATCAAGTTTGATGTAAGGTCTGGAGGATTACATGAGCAAGTGATAAAATTAAAAGATCGGAGACAATATTTCTGCTGATTTAGGTGGATACATGAATAGGATTAAAGTGGATTGAGGCCAACATAGTGGCAATGCTTCTTACGTTTGTTCTATTATCCTCCCCCCCACCTTTTCCCTGGCCGTCAGAACTATAGTGGGGCAGGGCTGCAGCTAATATGCAATAACAATTTGGCACGCTGGGCCGACAAAGAAGCCTTAACCATAGAGAATCTTATGGTTGTATTCTGCAATGTTTTACGTAGTTTCACTGTAAAATTGAAAGATTATGCTTAGACTGAATTGGTTAAAGAAGTGGACTATATATTGAAATGGATTCAGTCATCTATTTGTTCGTCATACATTTTTGAACATCCTAACTCTCCTTCTAATGGAGGCAAAATATTCTAACTTGATGTAGATGTTTAGATGTATATTAGGTTTCGCTGTGAAATTTTATAGATGGTGTTTAGACTGAATCGTGGAAAGCAGGAGACTATTGGGTTCGGTCATCTGCTTATCTGTTTGACCGTCTGTCCACCACATGTACACCTATAGGAACATACGAACTCTGCTTCTAATAGAGACAAAATATTATAATTTGGTGTAGATGTTGTGGCGCTTCTATTGAACTGACAAATCTGATATACTTTTGTATTGAGCAATATGTGTTTGAAATTTGCGTTCTGTTGTTATCTCGGTAGCCATCAAATAATAACATTTATTTGTGATGTAATATTTCATACATATACATCAGGACACGGAACACCATTTCCATAGATGTTGTTATTTGATGGACACAGAGATAACAACAGAACGCAAATGTCAAATGCATAATTCTCAATACCTAAACATATCAGATTCATCGGTTCTCCAGAAGCGCGATGATGTTGACCAGGTGAAAGACGTTGAAAAAGATTGATATTGAACTTATTCTGCTCAGGTTTATTAAAGTGGTAAGCAATTTGATTGGTCGAGAATACAGAACACTGTAACTTTGATTCTAATTGAGTGAAGTTCCCCGGTTTTATTTTATTTTGCTTTCTTTATGGGAATCGGTCAAGGTGCTAACTGGTGCTATGTGGTTAGTGTTTGGGCTGGGGTTAGTGCTAAAAGGCCTAACCCTAACCCTGTGCTGCCGAAAGATCAGTAGATGCACATTGTTCTATTTAAAATTCTCGTGCTCTGCATATGTACTTAGTTTTATTGTGAATTGAATTTTCAGTATTTTAATGGCTGTTTCTTTTTTATACTTTCAGGTGGTATGGATAACGAAGACCAAACAATCCAGAACGACCAGACCAATGGAACGAATGGAACTGGTTCTGAGGGATTTTTCGGTTCGTCCAATCCCTTCGATAGTTTTGGCTCGGCACTTTCTGGGGCTGCTGACAGTATCAAGACAGGTTTTGAACAAACGAAAGAAGGCCTGATGCACAAGATGGAGGACTACAAAGAGGACGTCAACCACTTTGGAAACGATTTAAACAAGCAAGCATGTGATTATAAAGATGACTTTTCTGAAAAAGCTGAACACATTACGGATCAAATCCACGGCTTTGGTGATAAAATTAGTGATGCAAAGGATAACTTAGCTGAAAGCATGACAGAAAAGACCGATTCTTTGAAAGAAAGCTTCACGGAAAAGACCGAAGATTTTCAAGGAAATGGAGAAGAGTTCGGTAAAGTTTTAACGGAGAGTATGAACGAAACAAAGGACGATTTTAGTGAAAAATTTGACAAGTTTGGCGAGAACATTTCGAACAAAGCTGAAAGCTTAAGTGATAACGTATCTAATCAGGCTGAGAGTTACGGTGAACAATTTTCAAATCAGGCTGAAAGTTTTGGTGATAATATTGAGGATCAAACGGATTATATCAAGGAAGGTTTCCGAGATCGATCTAACGATTTTAAGGATAATATCAGTGACTATGGACAAACTATTTCAATTAGTATCACAGACAAAGCCGAAGATGTTAAAAGTGGTTTTAGTGAATTCAGTGAAACTGTTTCTTCAAAGGCTCAAGATGTAAGGGATGATGTGGGTGATTTTGGAGAAAGTGTTGCCACAAAGACACAGGATCTCAAAGAAGATGTTGGAGAATTTGGAGATAGTGTTACTACTAAAGCACAAGAATTTCAGGATCATGTTTCTGAAAATATCTCTACAAAAGAACAGGATTTTCAGGACAGTGTTGGTGAATATCAGGAAAAAGTTTCCGAAAAAGCACAGGATTTCCAGGACAATGTTGGTGGATTTCGAGATGATATTTCTGAAAACATCTCCACAAAAGCACAGGATTTTCAGGACAATGTTGGTGAATATCAGGAAAAAGTTTCCGAAACTATCTCTACAAAAGCACAGGAATTTCAAGAGAGTGTCGGTGAATTGCAAGATGATGTTTCAGAGAATATCTCTGCAAGAGCCCAGGAAATCCAAGATAATGTCGGAGAAATAAGTAAGGATGTTTCCGACGACATCTCCACAAAAGTACAGGATTTGAGTGAAAGGGTTGAGGACCATCAAGACAATTTTGCAGACAGTGTTTCAGAAAAAGCCAGTGATATTAGGGGAAATGTAAATGAATTCGGTGAAGACCTTTCTGGGGAAATTGTCGGAAAGGCAACAGAATTTGGAGAAGGTATTGGTGAATTTGGAGCCAGTGTTACTGAAAAGGGTAAGGAAATTTCTTCCGAGTTGGATGAAAAAGCTGACAGTTTCAAAGAAAACATGACAGAATTGGGGGATAATGCACTTGATCAAGGAAAAGAGTTAACAGCAGATTTCGAAGGTAAAACAGTAACATTTGGAGAAGATATTTCTGGTAGAGCCGAAGGTTATTCTGAAGATTTCAGAGAAAATATTAGTGACCAATTTGAATCTATTTCTACAAAGGCACAGGATCTGGATGAAAGTTATGAGGATTATGAACAAGATGAAGATGAATTTAAGGAAAATGTTAATCAGTTTGCTGGAAATCTTGCTGATCAACTTTCATCTAAGGCTGAGGATGTCAAAGAAAATCTGAGCCAATTTGCAGACAACATTTCCGGAAGAGCACAGGATATGAGAGAAGATGTAGATGAATTTGTGGACCAAACGGCAGAAAAAAGTATTGAAATGAAAGACAATTTTGGAGAAAGAGCAGAAGCTTATGGTGCAGACTTATCAGAAGCAGCACAGGATCTCAAAGGAAATGTTGATGACTTTGGAGAGTCTGTTGAAGAAGCAATAGATAATAAACAAGCGGAAATGGTTGAAGGAGCTAAAGGATTTCAAGATGATGCTGAAGATGACCTTTCCCGTAAAGCCCAGGGCATAGTAGCTAATGCACAACAATATGGACTGGAACAAGCAAATGCCATGGAAGAACAAATAACTGGTCTGGCAGACAAGGGATCTGGAAAGATAGACAGTTTGACTGACTTTGCAGATGAACAGAAACCAGACATCATTGATGATATAAAAAATTTTGATGAAAACCTCTCCAATCAAACAGAAGAATTTGAGGATAACATGAATGGTTTAAACCAAGATAATGATCTTGCAGAAAGCATGGGTTCTGTAACCCAAAAAGTTGTGGATACTGAGAGTGATGATATCGATGTGGACAATTTGCCTCAAGCTGTGATCTCTGGAACAATAGATGCTATTGGTGAAACTCTAAAAGAAGGGTATGAAAAGGTTGCAGCACCAGTGGAAGCTGTTGTGACTGAATCAGTTGAAAAGACTTCAAGTGAAATTCATGAACAGGAATCATTCGATGATGAAACAGATGAAGATATGGATGCACCTGCAGCATTAACTGAACCAATAACACCAGAACCCCAACAAAGTGAAGGTGGATTTGGTGAAACTATTTCAAATGTCACAAGTACAATCAGCGACGTTGTTAGCAGTGGAGCAGAAAAAGCAGCATCAATATTTCAGAGTGAAGAACGTCCAGCAGAGGTTTCTGCACCTCAAACAAATGTAGAGCCAATAGAATCAGAACCCGAACAAAGTGAAGGTGGATTTGGTGAAGCTATTTCAAATGTCACAAGCACAATCAGTGACTTTGTTAGCAGTGGAGCAGAAAAAGCAGCATCAATATTTCAGAGTGAAGAACGTCCAGCAGAGGTTTCTGCACCTCAAACAAATATAGAGCCAATAGAATCAGAACCCCTCAAAAGTGAAGGTGGATTTGGTGAAGCTATTTCAAATGTCACAAGCACGATCAGCAACCTTGTTAGCAGTGGAGCAGAAAAAGCAGAATCAATGTTTCAGAGTGAAGAATGTCCAGCAGAGGTTTCTGAACCTCAAACAAATATAGAGCCAATAGAATCAGAACTCCAAAAAAGTGAAGGTGGATTTGGTGAAACTATTTCAGATGTCACAAGCACAATCAGCGACGTTGTTAGCAGTGGAGCGGAAAAAGCAGATTCATTGTTTCAGAGTGAAGAACGTCCAGCAGAGGTTTCTGCACCTCAAACAAATATAGAATCAATAGAATCAGAACCCGAACAAAGTGAAGGTGGATTTGGTGAAACTATTTCAAACGTCACAAGCACAATCAGCGACTTTGTTAGCAGTGGAGCAGAAAAAGCAGCTTCAGTTTTTCAGAGTGAGGAAAGTCCAGCAGAGGTTCCTGCACCTCAAACAGAGGTAGAACCTGAATCTCAACCACGTGAAAGTGGAGTTGGTCAAGCTTTTACTGAAGCAACAAATAGTATTGGAGACTTTATGAGCAGCGGAGCTGACAAGGCTGCATCATTATTTCATAGTGAGGAGACTTCTGCCGTAGTTCCAGAAGCTGCAACTTCACAATCTTTGTCTGATGAAAGATATGAACAAGATGAGGATGAGATTGAGGAAGATGATTACACAGATGATGAAGTTTCTGTTGCCAGTGAGAAAGAATCAGCAGGATTTTTCAGTGGAATATCAAGTGGTCTAACTAGTCTAAAGGACCAGGTTGTCAGCACAGGCAGTGAATTCATCCATGATGCTAAAGAAACAATCTCTGGAACTGTTGAAAATGTCAGTGACAGTGTAAAGGATGTTTTTAACCTGGAATCAAAAGTCAAAGTAGAAGATAAAGACACAGAAGAAGTTACTGAGAAACCAGGAATGCTTTTGAGTGAAACTGATCAAATTGAAAGTCCTGTTGATGAGAGTCCTGTGGACATTAACACTGGAACCAATATCGACATAATGACTAGCAGCATTATTGGTGCAGAACAGTTGGAGACTTCTGTAGATGATTCCAAAGCAATAGACCTTGCAACTAATTCTGTCCTGCAACAAGGTGATCAAAGACAAATCCCTGTTGATGACGTTGATGACATCGAAGCCATGAATAAATCTAATGCTAATGTTGGAACCAATATTGACATTATGAGCTCTAGCATCTATGAACCAGGCATGGAAGATGAAGGGGATGAAGTGGAAGTGATGGATGAGGAACCAAATGTACAGGGTGGAACAAGTGATTTGATGAGTTCAAGCCTTTATATGCCCAGTGAAAATGAAATGACAGGAGACATTGAGTCTGAAAGGACTTCGTCAACACAAAGCACAGAGGAAGTCATACAGAGCACTGAAACTAATGAACCAGAGCATACTTCAATACAAAGCATAGAGGATGCCTCTAAGAGTGAATCTTCAGAGCCAGAGCAGATCTCAATCCAAAGCACCAAGGAAGTACATGAAGATTATGAAGACTCTTTGCAACGGGATGTTATGCCACCTGAACCATGTGAAATAGCGCAACCGGTTTATGAAGAACCCCGAATTCTAGATGATCAACAAATTCAAGAAGAAACAAAGGTCCAAGAAAAAGAAGAATCAATTCAAGTAGATGAACCAGTCATCGAGAAGCCAGTACAACAAGAAACAACAGAACCAAAAGAGGAAGAACCTGTGCAAGTAGAAGCACAGGTGCCCCTTAAGAAGACTATTCCAGAACCCAGCAAAGAAAGTAAAAAGCCCAGTTCCAAAGCTTCTACTCCTAGTCCTAAAAAAACACCAGTACCCGCAAAACTTCAAACTAGTCCTAAAAAATCAGTGAAAAGTACAGTAAAAAGCACTGAGAAACTAACCAAACCACTGAAAAGTCCAGATAAATCCCCGAAAAAGCCAGCCCCTCCTAAAACTGTAACAAATGGCACAGCCGAAAAAAAGAAAACCCCAACAAACATTTCGTCTGTAACCGAACGTCTTTCACAACCTAAAGTGCGCCATGAAATCTCACCAGTTGTTTCAGAAGCAACACCAAGATCCCGACCAAGAACAATAGCACATAGCCGAAGATCTGGGGGTAAGATCATCATGATTTTTCTTATTCTTCTTCATCAATCACTAAAACAAGCCATGAAATTATTTTATTACCTGGTTATTCCCCCAAATATAAAAAAATACCATAGAAGGCTTTTAATCTTTGGGGGGGTGGATGGCCGAATGGTTAGCACGTACGTGCTGTATCATAAGGCCTGTCATTGAGTCAACTGGCGTGGTTTCGATTTCCCGGTTGTACGTGACAAGGAGTAGGGTCGCCTGTCCAACCTTGTGGGTTTTCTCTGGGTTCTCCGGTTTCCCCCCACTGCTAAAGACCCATACGCGCAAGTGAATTATTGAAATAAAATTAAACCATATGTTAGTCCCGAAATGGACTAGTTTCTGTTGAGTGGATGTTAAACCCCATTTATCTCTCTTTCTCTCATTAATCTGACACAATTGGTAAGCTTATTGACATGACCCGAATTATCAGCGAGTTGATTAATTAATAGTATGGCATATGATTGACATTTCATTGTAAAGGTTAATCTAGGCTATATACAATTAGAATTTTAAGATTTTTTTTACGCCAGTTCTCAAAAGAATCTCCAGTACCCCCAAACGTTATTTCCAAAATTATCGTCAAAAAAAATTTTAATCGCCACTTTAATATTTTTATCGCAAATTGCGACTGTGGCATTCTTGAACAATATTTAATTTTTGCATTTGTAAGAGCTAAATCTGCCTATTGCAGGTCTTTCTTTAGGCCTTAAATGTTATATAAACTATTAATTAATTAGACATTTATTAACTTGATAAGACCATAATCAACTCTTGATGGGATTTTAAGTAGATTAGAATGGTTCAGCCATTTAATGATTTAATTCAAAAATCGAGAAGTGAGGCTAAGACTCGAATGACCAATACAATGGATACGATCAATGCACACATCTTGTCAAAACCACAACTATTGATAACTTCACTCGGAATAAAGTAACATGAATGAAATTTCCAATATATCCATTTTGAATTTTCTACTTTTGAAATATTATAGCGAGAACGGAGAGTTCTGTATCTAAATTTTACATAATGCCCCTTTAAAGTAGCAAAATTAAAATATCAAGGGTAGATATTCTCTTGGCTTGACGGGGGTTGGATGGCTGAATGAAAAAGCGTGCGCGCGCTGTATCATAAAGTCTGTCATTGAGTCGACTGGCAATGTTTCGAATCCCCGGTTGTACGTGGCAAGGAGTAGGGTTGCCTGTCCAACCTCGTGGGTTTTCTCGGGGTCCTCCGGTTTCCTCCCACTGCTAAAGACCCCTACGCGCAAGCGAATTATTGAAATAAAATTAAACCATATGTTAGTCCCGAAATGACCTAGTTTGTGTCGAGTGGACTTTAAACCCCATTTCTCTCTCTCTCTGAATTTTACATAATTCCCCTTTAAAGTAGCAAAATAAAAACATCATGGGTAGATATTCTCTTGGCTTGAATTGAATTAGATTAAAAAGAGGCCCATCAAAAGATGTTCCCAATATTTATAGGTGGCACTGGCTTGCTCCTATTATCTGCTTAGCTTGTTTCTATCATTTACACTGATATACATTCAACTTTCTCCTGAGGGGTTTGATGGCCAAATGGTTAGCAGGTGCACTTTGTATCATAAGGTCTGTCATTGAGTCAACTGGGGTGGTTTCGATTCCTCAGTTGTGAGTGACAAGGAGTAGAGTCACTTGTGCAATCTCGTGAGTTTTCTCCGGATCCTCCGGTTTCCTCCCACTAGTAAAGACCTCTATGCACAAGCAAAATATTGAAATAAAATTGAACCATATGTTAGTCCTGAAATGACCTGGTTTGTGTCAAGTGGACATTAAACCCCATCTTTCTCTCTCTAATGCAACATTATGAAGATGAATTACCAATTGAGGGGAGACAACTCCAGTATTATTCCTTACCGGTACATTGAATACGTTTGTCATTGATTTGAATTTCCAATACAATAATGGCTTAACTAATTTCAAATTAAAGAGATTCCTGAACTTGGCAACCAATTTTTTTGTACTAGGTGCAGATTCTCTCTTGAAATTTCTGATGATGACGTAGTATGATGTATTCAATACATTCTTCATTAAGACAGCGAGAGCGGTAGTCAGTTGTACGGGTGGACATGAGATATGTACACTATGTCTTTCTTTTTAGTCGATTTTTCCCACCCAATCTCACCCATGGTCCTTTAGTTGTGTTGATCCTCTTGCGTTCAGATCTATCGCATTATTGCTCCCCAATACTTAATACTTCTGGAAGCTGGAGGAATTGACATGCTGAGGATTGATGCATTGCCTGAGGTAAAAATACCTTCGAATAAACTGGTGGTCGTCATTTGAGTGATTTCCAACCCTTGTAAGCTACAATATTAGAAAAGTTGAATCTCTAAAAGAAATATCAGTCCAAAAATGGTTCAGTTCCATTTAGTTTTTACAAATATATGATGAATTTAAAATATAGCAGCATTCGGTAACTTCTGCAGATGACATAAACAAGCCAACACCACGTAAAAATATTTGTGTAAAATATTTTTGATTGGACACATTTTAATTCAATTAAATCCAGGCTGGGAGATTATCTACTGTTCTTAATTTAATGTTAGATAATGAATTTGAGGACCTTTTAACGTTCATTGAGCCGTGAAATATTAGGTATTTTCCAAAAATTACCCCAATGGGATTGCCAACTTTCAAGGCTTTCATTGAATGATCAATTTGATATTTTATATTATATTTTATATTTTATATTTTATATTTATATTTATATTTATATTTATTTATATTTATTTATATTTATTTATAGTTATTTATAGTTATTTATATTTATTCATTTATATTTATTCATTTATATTTATATTTTATGTTTATATAACCTATTTTATATTTATATTTATATTTATATTTTATATTTTGTAGATACTCCAGGTTATTTGGCTGGAACATTAAGCTCTAAGGTTAGTAACTATTTTCTTTTAGTTAAAAACTATACACACTGAGAACTACTAAGAGGTCAATCCCAGCCCTTATAGAAAATTATGTCTTGGGTGTTATCTGTACGTCTATCGAAAGAAAATTAATTTCTCGACTATTACTTGGTATTACCGCGTTAAAATTGTAAATGAGGTGCATGAATTACCAAGGTTATCTGTACGTCTATCGAAAGAAAATTAATTTCTCGACTATTACTCAGTATTACCGCGTTAAAATTGTAAATGAGGTGCATGAATTACCAAGGTTATCTGTACGTCTATCGAAAGAAAATTAATTTCTCGACTATTACTCAGTATTACCGCGTTAAAATTGTAAATGAGGTGCATGAATAACCAAGGGTGAAAAACTGTACATTTAATACTATCTTGTCCTATGATATTATGAGAGCAGAGTGAGGGCTGGAACTGTGAAATGTTAAATGGACAGTTTTGGAAAACTAATGTGCGACATACTTATAGAAGTGGGTGTTTTAAAACATATACATCTAACAATTCATTTGTCTAATTGTCTCAATGGGTGTGCAATCAGGCCTCATGAGAGGGGGGTGCAGCCAGTGCGCCGGCCCAGGGCCCATAAGAGTTCAAAATTGAAATGGGCAATTAAGCATGATGTTTTTATTGTTCCTTTGAAACTTATATAAGTATGTACAAAAGTTTTTTGCTTTATCGTAATCTGCTAGTGAATCGTCTAGATATGACTAGTGTTAGAAAGACAGGGTAGGGGAAGGTCTCGCCCCAGCACATTTTTTTTCCTCTCAAAGGCACTGTGTGTGATAAATAAGGTTGGGAACCACTGTCATGGAGTACCAGCTTTGCTTGCACACTATACCACAAGTCTTTGAATTCGAAAAACTGGCTCTCAAGTGCGAACATGTTTAATTAAGTTTCTCCAAGTATTACATCCACTTTCACATATCCTAGGGTGATACCACGGACAAGTGTCTCCTAGGGTGATACCACGGACAAGTGTCTCCTAGGGTGATACCACGGACAAGTGTCTCCTAGGGTGATACCACGGACAAGTGTCTCCTAGGGGGATATCACAGACAAGTGTCTCCTAGGGTGATACCACGGACAAGTGTCTCCTAGGGTGATACCACGGACAAGTGTCTCCTAGGGTGATACCACGGACAAGTGTCTCCTAGGGGGATATCACAGACAAGTGTCTCCTAGGAAAATCCAATCATCAATGAAAGGGCAGTCTAGTAAAAGGTGAAAATTGAAGAGAGAGTGGGCAAATTTATGTGATCCATTTTCTTGATTTAGAAGTGTTTTTTTGTCATGACTTATACATGTAATGAACTCCTTTGTCGCGTGTATATTTGGTGAACTCCTTTGTGTAAGAGACAGTGATAGACTACAAACAAGTTAGTACATATGTATACGACATGTACTGTATATAGTTAATGAAATACAAACAAAGATTAGACTTTTTATTCTTTAGTACACTGTACTATAACAGTGTTACTTTATTGTACAAGTATCCTCTTCTTTTATACAAATAATCTCTTTCAATTATAGGCTTAATGACATTGTCACACTACTTTATTCAGGCTTTTTCAGTGAATTAATGGATTAAAATTGAACCATATGTTAGTCCCGAAACAACCAACTTTGCATCAAGTGGACTTAAAACTCTCTCTCTCTCTCTCTCTCTCTCTCTCTCTCTCTCTCTCTCTCTCTCTCTCTCTCTCTTTCTCTTTAATCTCTTTTCATTTTAGGTTTAATTAACGACCGACCGACCGTATCACACTACTTTATTGAGGCTTTTATTTTACAACTAGTCAGGTTCTAGTTAATATCTTAAAGTAGCAATTTTGTTGGGGGGGGGGGGGGGGGGCGGCCGAATGAGTAACGCCTGTGCCTTAGATCAGGAGGTCTGTCACTGATTCAAGTGGCGTGGTTTCAATTCCCTACTTATATGTGACAACCTCATGGTTTTTCTCTGGGTCCTCAGGATTCCACCCACTGCTAAAAGGCAAGCGAATTAATGGAATAAGATGGAACCATATGTTGGTCCCGAAATGACGGAAGTGAGGCAGTGGCAACATTCATCATCTGACAAGAACCTAAGAGTATTACGTTAATGAAAACAAGGGGTCTTATAGGACTCCCCCCCCCCTCTTTCCTTTAAACATTTTGCTGGTTACAAGTGCCTAATATTCTGTTCTGCGCTTGGTGCAAGCTTTGTATTTGGAGTCTCTCTTACTGATGATATTGTGTTGATCATTCTAGCAATCTAGATCTGAAAACAAATCTAAGTACTCTACCAACCCCATCAAAAGACGATTCTACATGGGAATGACAATTACAAAAACCAATTTATGTCTGGGGTCTTAGATTACTCCTTCTTGCCAACAATGTTTTTTCGTGCGTCGGGATAATCTTGAAAACAACGATAGTATCATTATAGAAATGTAGCTCCAATTAGAAACCATTGTAACTATTTTCCGTAGAACTTTAGTGCTTATTTTAATGTGTTCAAGTACTAAATGCTGTTTAAACAGTGTAGAGATAAAATCTTAATCCCCTTTTATTGTACGAGTTCGTCGTTACTTTATAGGGATAATCTATTTAATACCTTCTCATCATAGACTTGATGACGTGATCAAACTACTTATTTATTTTACAACTAGGCTGTTCCTTTAAAGAGATTAGTCATTGTGGTTTCGATTCCGCGGTTGTACGTGACAAGAAGTAGGATCGCCTGTCCAACCTCGTGGGTTTTCTCCGGGTCCTTCGTTTTCCTCCCTCTGCTAAAAACCCCTATGCGCAAGCGAATTATTGAAATTGAATTGAAACATATGTTAGTTCCGAAATTACCTAGTTTGTGTCGAGTGGACGTTAAATGTATAGTACTATACATATATACACTGTAACTCAGGTATCATCTAATCTTGTGTATCTAGCACTAGTTTCTTTAACATTTGTTTAATATCAAATCTTTGTTTAACAGATTTGTAAAAATCTATAAAATCACCCCAAATCCTCTAATTTATACTTCGTAAACATCATTCAAAATCACCAAAATCATCTTTTTTGTACTTATGTCAAATTTAAAGCTGACTGATTGATTATGATAATGAGTGTCCAATTTACAAGTATTCAATTTCCTGACCACTGTTCAAAAATTAATCATTAAACATCAATAATCAATTGGGTTGTTTGTTTTGTAACAGTGATCGAGAAATTAAACACTTGTAAATTGGAAGTCAGGCATCCTGCTAATAGAGAGATAAATCATGGGGGTTATTCAAAATTTCTAAATTAATCTCCTTTTAATTTGTTTATCTTAAAATATATTTAAAGTATAAAGATAAGGGTGTACCGATCATAAAAGAAAATATTCATATTTATTCATATATCAAATGTATCAATTTCTGACACCTGTCCTCCTTTCATCTATTTCGCCTGAAGTAAAAAAAATATAAACAAACGGTAAAAATGTATCAGTTTTAGGTTCAGTGATCAGAGATGTAACGCTAGGTATCATATTACGCCTGTTAGTGTAAAACACCTGTAAATTATAAATTTTTCTTACAAGTAAAAAACACCTTTAATATCATACCTGTATCGCAACAGGTGTAACGGATTAACAAATAATCTGTATTTTAAAACAATAAAATGATTAGTTAAGAAATTGTGAGTATATAGTCATTTTTTATGTAACTGTACTTAAAGTTGTTTGTACCTGTGGTTTTTTTTTACCTGTCGTTAACAGTATAATAGGAAGCTGTCAGTCACCTGGCTGCTGACACACAAAATATACCTGGTCAAACGAGATTCTGATAACCTCTTCATCTATTCACCGACAGTCAGGATATACTATACGTACAATTTACTTGGATTAATCTTGTTTTAAAAAAACTACACAAAAACAGGATATAACTTTTCTACAACCTCTTTTTATTGCATTAAGGAAATATTTTTCACCTGGTTTACTTTCATCAAGGATAATTTTCTTTTGAATAATTCAAATTCTTAAATGCAGGTAAAGAATTTTAAGATCTTTAGAAATATCTAAAAAAAATGTAATCTGAGATTGATATTAGTACATTTATGATGCAGGTAGGGTTTTTAAGATCTTTAGAGAATATCTGAAATATGTAATTCAGGAATTAATATTAGTGTGTTTGTCATGTAATTCAGAGATTAATATTAGTATGCAATTCAGGGATTAATATTAGTATGTAATTCAGGGATTAATATTAGTATGTTTATCATTTGTCTTAAACACAGATATGGGTAAATCATTTCAAAGTCTATTTTAAATTATTTTTTTTAAATGACATAGTTTACCATTGGTTTTGATAAGGAAACAGTCAGTGAAGAAAAATGAAATGAAATGAAATGTGGTGTAACGTAATACTGTTCTGCTCCTATACTGGGATAATGAAGACGGGCATACGCCATACATTGTGCTATGAGGGAAATTTTGCCCTGACAGCGGCACTATCGCCTACTCTTATATCGAATTCCAACTACCAGGGGATCTTTTATGTGCATTCCAATATATACACGGGACCTCGGTTTTTCGTCTCATCCAAAGGACTAGACAGTTGTCCTTGTCAGGCCCTCCGTCCTGCATCACTGACAAGGGGGAACCACACCGGAAAATCTGGAAGAACTTTCTTGGCCAATGCAGGGATCAAACACCCGACCTCCAGGCTAGCGAGCTAGCGTCCTACCCACTTAGCCACGTGATCCCCCAGTGAAGAAAAAAATGTCTTGCTTGTTTTAATGTTTGCGATGGTGGTGTGTTTCGTTGGGGTGGGTGGGACATTGGGTAGTTGACATTGGTCTAAAGATTGTTTGTAGGATTTAGTAATGAAAACATTTCAGTTTGTTTTCCCATTATCAGTGGTGCTGGATGGAGGGCCTGGCAAGGAAATGTGTCTAGTCATTTGGATGGGACAAAAAAAATGGTATTTTCAGATCCCCTGACAGCTTAATTAAATACAAAATAAGAGAGAGAGAGATGGGTATAACGTCTACTCAACACAAACTAGGTCATTTCGGGACTATCATACGGTTCAATTTTTATTTCAATAATGCGCTCGCGCGTAGGGGTCTTTAGCAGTGGGAGGAAACCAGAGGACCCGAAGAAAACCCACGAGGTTGGACAGGCAACTCGACTCCTTGTCACGTACAACCGTGGAATGGAAACCCCTCCACATCATGATATTTTGTCTTCATTAGTCCAGTCAGTGCTGAAAACTAAAACATTAAAACCCAATTTCATTAATTTCATTTCTTAATTGTTTTGTTTTTATTTTGTGTGGTAATTACAAATATCTGGCTTTAGAGGATAAAACAGATGACGTTTAACAATCACTCCAGGGACATGTTTTGTACTGTTATCTAAAATATAACTGTGACTTTTGAAACGTGAAATAGAGTAATTATACATCTGCATATTTAAAATATCAAGAGTGCAGTCATCCAAATGTTATGCTATAGAATTTCCCTTTTATAAAATAACAATATGGAATGTCATTCAATGTCGTAAAACACCTGTACAGGTATATGTTTTGGCTATGGTGCGTGTAAGCTTTGAACTTTCTTTTAACAAACGCAATATTTACATTTTGACCTCGGTGTCAGTTTATTCTGTTGTGTGTTGTTTGGCTTCCGTGTTCATGAATTTATTTTTATTGTTTTGAATTAGGTCAATAAAACTTAATTTTTAAAGCCAAAATTTTATTAAATTTGATTTTCTGTCTTGTGAGTTCTGTTATTTAAAAAACAGATACAGGACAGAATATTGCACTGAAATGGGATATTTAATATTTAATTAAGCGAACAGAATCAAAATATTAACGTTAAATAATCTCTTGACTTGGATTCAATCAGATTAAAACGAGGCCCATCAAAAGACTTTACCCATAACTTATAAGCGCAGGGAGGGTGGGGGTGTAAACGATAATATTGGGTAAGTTGAAGTTCTCTAAAAGTATATCAGGGGGATTGAATCAGAAAGTTTGTCATTGAGACAAGTGACGTGGTTTCGATTCACCGGTTGTACGTGACAAGGAGTTAGGGTCGCCTGTCCAACCTCGTGGGTTTCCTTCGGGTCCTCCACTGCTAAAGACCCCTAAATGCAAGAGAATCTTTGAAATAAGATTGAACCTAGTTTGCGCCAAGTGGACGTTATACCCCATTTCTCTTTCTCTCTATAAGTGCCTCTGGTTTGTTTGCATCAATAGCAAAATGTGGCCAAATTTTAAATTCATCATATCTTTGTAAATACTGAACGAAATTAAACTATTTTTGAACTGATATTTCTGTCAGAAGTCCAACTTTAATAATATTCCTCTTATAGATTCAACATTCACATAGTTTACAAGAGATCTCTCAAATGGCAATCAGAGTCTTCAATGAAATGATAAATATGCAGAAATAATGACAAAGGATAGAAAAAAGACGATAATAGCTTAGATGACTGCTTCTTTGTATTCAGTATTTCTTGTTTTTTCCTCTGTTTTTGTGGTAAATGGAACATATACCCTTTGTAGTCAGTATACCTCAATTCTTTTGAATGCTAAAACAATTTATAATTTGCCAAACCTAGAGCCAGATATACCATGGAGGTCCTATGTAGTATTTACCCTAGAGCCCCACAATTCACCCCCAAAAACACAACTCAATTGTTCTTTTTGTGACCCCAATATTTGTTCATTTAGCACCTTTTCATATGGTTAACTGAACGAGGCTGTGTACACAAGTCGAGTTCTCAGATTTCGCTGACCACTTCAATCTGCCGTGTAAATGTCAGATATTTTCTCGCGGCCATAAAGCTGAATAATAGGCAGACGGGGTCCTTTTATAAAACATTGTTTCGTTGGTCAATATAATAGCGACACAGTTCTTACTGATTACTGATAAGGAGAAGATGTAAATAAGCGTTTCTATCCAATCTTCTTCCAATTCCAACTGTCAAGGGATCTTTTACGTGCTCTCCAATGTGTACATAGGACCGTATATTATTGTCCCATCCATTGAGCAGACACAGTTCTTTAACAGTGGTCAGGAAATTAAATACTTGTAAATTACTCGGTCAGCTTTAAACTAGACACAAGTACAAACTAGATGATTTTGAGAGATTTGAAATGATTTTTCAGAATTTTTAAACAGTATTTGATATTAAACGAATGTGAAAGAAATTAGTGCTAAATACACAAGATTAAATGATACCCAGCACTGTAACCCAGGTATCGTTTAATCTTGTGTATCTAGCACTAATTTCTTTCACATTCGTTTAATATCAAATCTTTGTTTAAAAATTTGTAAAAACTGTTTAAAATCACCTAAAATCATCTAATTTGTACATGTGTCCAGTTTAAAGCTGACTGATACATTTTGATAATGAGTGTCCAATTTACAAGTATTTAATTTCCTGATCACTGTTCAAAAATTAATTATTATACATCATTAATCAATGGGGTTGTTTATTTTTTAACAATGATTGAGAAATTAAACACTTGTAAATTAATTGGACACTCATTATCAAAATTGAATGGTCAGCTTTAAACTGGACAGAAGTACAAATTAAACGATTTTTGGTGATTTTAAACGATTTTTACGAATTTTTAAACAAAGATTGGATATTAAATGAATGTGAAAGAAATTAGTGCTAGATACACAAGATAAAACGATACCTGGGTTACAGTGCAGATTACAGTGATAGTAGCCTACATATTTCAGATTTATGGTTTATGTTTTAAATATGTGAATAGTTGTGAAACCTGTGGTTTGTGTTTAACTGTCTGTCACACATGTGAAACCTGTGACAGTTTAATGATATACACGCTATATAAGTACTGTAATACTGTATAAAATACTGACATGCATGAATAGATATACATAAACATGCATGGATAAACAAAGAAAGTATGATCTGATGATAGTCCCAGATTACACAGGACAAAATAGATTATAGTAGGTTATTATTAGATAACCAAATCTATTAATAGGAGTGAGAGAGAGAGAGAGAGAGAGAGAGAGAGAGAGAGAGAGAGAGAGAGAGAGTACAAAAACATAATACTTGAACCCTTAGAATACAAAAACCTTTTTATTATTAGATCTTTTCTTATATTGAGAGAGAGGGAGAGAGAGAGAGGAATTAACCTCCATTCAACACAGACTAGGACATTTTGGGACTAACATATGGTTCAATTTTTATTTCAATACTTTGCTTGAGTGTAGGGGTCTTCAACAGTGGGAGAAAACCCACAATGTTGGACAGGCGACCCTACTCCTTGTCATGTACGACCAAGCCAGTTAACTGAATGACATGCGCTAACCATTCAGCCATTCAAACCCCTGCTCACCTGCTAGGAACTAGGACAAAACGAAAAAAATTATTGGTGAACACAATATTTAAATTAAATTTAATAGTAACATTATATTGTCATTAGTTTTTAATTAGAATGCAAAGAAACCTGTCCAGACAAAATTCTCCCCCTCACATTGCACAAGTCAGTAGTCCCCGACAGACTTATAAAAATTAAAAAAAATTAATACATATACTTTTCTTTTCGAAGTAAGCCATATCCGAGCCCCATGAGCCCCACCCCCCACCCTCACTCCCTGACATTTTCTAACTGATGCTTAACTAGGACTTTGTGACAATGTTTTGGAGAGGCAGATGGTCCCCCACCCACCCACTGGCAAATAACTAAAGAAAATAAATATCCAGTTGTTTATGTTGACTTATGATATTTCAGTATATGAACTAATCTGTTTAAAATACAGATCTATATATTTCGTTTCGTTTCGTTTTTTTATGCTTTCAATGGCCTACACTACATGAAAATCTGACAAGTTATAGCGATAGGTCACGTCAGAGGTCAAAAGACCGACTTATGACCCTATGATGTCAGACATTTGATTAACCAATCAGCATTGATGCTACTAGTGGATTACCCATAGTTCCGTGAAAAACACGCCCAAAGCTCGTCGTAACAGACTTTTTCATTGGCTTACCCCTGACACTATTCAGAACATGAGTTAAATAACAACTCTTCCAGATCCAAGTGTAGTAAAGACAAGTAAAACGAAATTTTGAACTATAAAAACGAAACGAAATAGGATCTGTGTTTTAACCAGATTGTATATGACTCAGTGTATGTTTTTGAACTGTATGTCCAGTTTATAACCAATAGTCAATTTGACCTTTACTGTGACGGCTTATCTCAACACTGTTAACTTTTACAGGGTGACAACAATTTTCATATCAACTTGCGAAAAACAAACTTTTACTTTTTGTTAAAATCAATTTTGTTGATAATGAGGTTTTTCTTACATATATTAGTTTAAGTGAAGAAAAATTAAGTTTTATTTTTATTTAAAGAGCTGATATGTTCATTTCACTAAATGATATATTTTTTTTATTTTTTTAAATAAATATATTTATTGTCTGTTGAAACAGATCTGTCAGTCTGTCACACATTCTCAAACACAGTATCCCTGCTTTTGATTGAATGTTTCAAACTTGATTTAGATGTTCTTGATTTTTGATAAAAAGATAAAATGCCAGTAATTAATGAATGTTGTTTATTTAATTTGGGATTAGGGGTGGGAGGGGGTACTGGAGGTCACCAGCCTCTCTGCTGGCTTGTTTATTCGTTTAGTTTGTATTTATTGTATTTGTAGAGCTGTGAAAGAAAGAAGTATGGTACATTCATTCATTCGTTCATTCACTCTATAGAGCTAGGAAGGGAAAGACCTATTTATTTATTTATTTATTGTATTTGTAGAGCTGTGAAAGAAAGAAGTATGGTACATTCATTCATTCGTGCATTCATTCTATAGAGCTAGGAAGGGAAAGACCTATTATTTATTTATTTATTGTATTTGTAGAGCTGTGAAAGAAAGAAGTATGGTACATTTATTTTATTTTATTTATTGTATTTGTAGAGCTGGGAAAATATGGTACATTCATTCGTTCATTCACTTTATAGGAAAGACCTATTATTTATTTATTTATTGTATTTGTAGAGCTGTGAAAGAAAGAAGTATTTATTTATTGTATTTGTAGAGCTGAGAAAGGAAGGAAGAGGTTTTATTTATTTATTTTATTTTATTTATTGTATTTGTAGAGCTGGGAAAATATAGTACTTTCATTCGTTCATTCACTTTATAGGAAAGACCTATTATTTATTTATTTATTGTATTTGTAGAGCTGTGAAAGAAAGAAGTATGGTACATTCATTCATTCGTTCATTCATTCCATAGAGCTAGGAAGGGAAAGACCTATTTATTGTATTTATTGTATTTGTAGAGCTGTGAAAGAAAGAAGTATGGTACATTCATTCATTCATTCATTCATTCTATAGTGCTAGTAAGGGAAAGACCTATTTATTGTATTTATTGTATTTGTAGAGCTGTGAAAGAAAGAAGTATGGTACATTCATTCTATAGAGCTAGGAAGGGAAAGACCTATTATTTATTGTATTTATTGTATTTGTAGAGCTGTGAAAGAAAGAAGTATGGTACGGACAGTAAGAATGAAGGTTATAAACCGGGAGGAGGTAATGTTAAGATATTCAGTGAGAAGAAAGAATTTAAAGCAACATCCAAGATAAACAACGGATCAAAAACACCAACACAAAGTAAGTCGTATTTCTCTATATATGGTTTATGTACCTCCCCCCCCTCCCCATTCCAGTTCAGTATGTCAACACATACGGGTACTGGAGATCCCACGATGTACTTGGTTGTCCTCTGATTTGTTTTTTTAGGGGGGTTGGGTGGCCGAATAGGTGGCTATCAAGGAAATTGTGCCCAAACAGTACTATGGCCTATTCTTATTTTTTATTTAAAATTGCCAGGGGATCTTACAAATGTGGGGGGATTGGGTGACCGAATGGTTAACGCGCGTTTGACCACAAGGTCTGTCATTGAGTCAAGTGGCGTGGTTTCGAATCCCCTCTTGTTCGTGACAAGGAGTAGGGTCGTCTGTCCAACCTCATGGTTTTTCTCCAGGTCCTCCAGTTTCCTCCCACTGCTAAAGACCCCTACGCGCTAGCAAATTATTAAAATAAAATTGAATGCTTATAGAGGCCAGTGTAGTGTTGAACCAATTATATCTACATCACTTACGGTTTTAATGAAAATTAATTTCTCGCTTACAAAAACAATTTTGCTTTGTGCTACACAGGGGATTATGTCTGAATATATATTTAAGATTTATGGAAACTTCGTTGAAAATCATTGCACTTCCCCTTTAAATTTGCCACACCAAGCAATATTTATATAATTAGCACGGAGAGAACCAAAGAATTATTGATTGTATGGACAGACAAGAACTGTTATTGTTATTATATCCTTCCAGATCTTTCTTCTTGATGATATGTTATTGGCAACAATATTCTATAGATATATTCACAGGGGTAGATTTATTATACCAATATCCCGTCTTCATATTCTCGGGGGTTGATTTTTATGGCTTCGAGTCTTCAGAGAGTCAATAGATAAGATGCGGTCAAACAAACGATCAATGTCTCCAGTTATACAATAATTTATTGGCGTTCCACACAGGACATATTAATGTCATAGATGCAGTTATGATATATAATCTTTTTAGTAGAGAATTTTGTGACCTGGGTCAGATTCCTCATTAGAAATAACAATGAAATGAAATGGGGTTTAATGTCTACTGTTCTGCTCCGACTGGGGTGACGAAAACAGGCATACACTATACAGTGTGCTGTGAGGGAAATATTGCCCAGGCTGTGGCACTATGACCTGTTCTCATTTTGAATTCCATCTGTCGAGGAATCTTTTACATGTACTCCAATGTATACACAGGACCTCAGTTTTTTTCGTACCATTCAAACAACTAGACAGCTGTCCTTGTCAGCCCCTTTGTCATGCACCACTGACAAGGGGAAACCACACAGAAAAATCCTGATGAACTTTCTCTACCAATGTAGGGATCGAACACGCGATCTCCAGACTAGCAAGGGGCTAATAATGACAGGCATACGCCATAGTGTGCTATGAGGCAAACTTCGCCCTGATGGCAGTCTGCTGTCCTGCACCAACCGGGTTAAAGAAGACAAACCTACATCATGCAGTGTGATATGAGGGCAATTTTGTCAAAACCGTGTTGTTACTTCCTTCCCTCATATCAACTATCAATAGGGGGTTCTTTATTGTTAGTGGTATACGTGAGATTCAATTCTTTGTAAAAAGAGGGGATTGGACGGTTAGCATGTGCATGTTGTACCATAAGGTTTTCATTGAGCCAAATGGCGTTGTTTTGATTCCCCCATTGTATGTGACAAGGAGTAGGGACTTCTGTCCAACCTCGTGGATTTTCTCTGGGTCCACAAGTTTCCTCCCACTGCTAAAGACCCCTATGTGCAATTGAATTATTGAAATACCTAGGAAATTACCTAGTTTGTGTCGAATGAAAGTTAAACCCCATTTCTCTCTCTCGTTGTAACAATCGAGCAACTCAACAGCTTTCCCGAGGAACTTTGTTGGCCAGCAATTGGCTCGAATCCAGAATCTCCTGACTAATGATCAAGCACCACAAGAGTTGCTGGACTAGAGGCTTAAAGCTAATAAAACACTGCAGATATTAGCTGGATTGTCTGGGGGTTTATTCCCAGCCTCATTCCACCGACAGCTAACATGGTCTAGACATTGGAAAGATCATCCTGACCTGAATCAGACTTGTGAATAGTGATAGAGGGTTGTCTTAAGGTCTGTGGCGTTGTTGGTATAAACAGTATTTGTTTCGTAATTATAGTACAGTTTGATAGGATAAGAAAACAAGCCAAGGAGGCTTATTTATTAATTTGCGTTGTTGAGGGTTAGGTTGTCTGATGGTGTGTGGCATTGAGGGTCAGAAGGGTGTCTCGTGTTCTACAGCGATGTTGATGGTTAGTGGGTTGTCTGATGGTGTGTGGCATTATTGAGGGTCAGAAGGGTGTCTCGTGTTCTACGGTGATGTTGAGGGTTAATGGGTTGTTTGATGGTGTGTGGCAATGTTGAGAGTTACCGGGTTGTCAGGCTGCCTGAAATCTGATGTGAGTAACAGAATACTGAGAGGTTCAGATTGTCTGAAATCTGATTCTGCAAGACCTGTTACCATCTCTATAATTTGAGAGCCTTGACGAGGACTATAGACTAGATTATCCAGGGTTTGAATCTCTGTATTTTTTAGATGGTCTTGATTTAGAATCACAGTGCCGCCTGAGAAGAACCTTCATGATGTTTCAATCCCAGTTCCCGTGTGTCAGGTGTCACGCCTGATGGGGCTGACCAGGAAAGGGATGTCTAGTCATTTGGAAGGGATGATAAACCAAGGGAGAGAGAGAGAGAAATGGGGTTTAACGTCCACTCGACACAAACTAGGTCATTTCGGGACTAACATATGGTTTAATTTTATTTCAATAATTCGCTTGCACGTAGGGGTCTTTAGCAGTGGGAGGAAACCGGAGGACCCGGAGAAAACCCACAAGGTTGAACAGGCGACCCTACTCCTTGTCACGTACAACCGGGGATTCGAAACCACGCCAGTCGAGTCAATGACAGACTTTATGATACAGCGCGCGCACGCTAACCATTCAGCCATCCAGCCCCCCGATAAACCAAGGACCAGCTGCGTACACATGGGCATGCACATAAAAGAATCTTCACCTAGCATATGTTAGTACCCAAATAATTGAAGTATTGTAGAGATATAATTTATATATTTCCCAAATGCTGTCCATATGTGCGCTTGTACAGACATTTTGCAACAAATGCTGAAAGGAACTTAATGTGCTTGACACCCTTTTGCTTTGAATTAAAACATTGTAATGTGAGACATCATTTGGGTTTCTTTTAGCGCACTATTGGGATAAATTACTGAAAATAATTGTATTGACATAACTGAAAATGGAATGGAACGGAGACTAAGAGCCTCGCAGGAATATTGTGGGAACTTTCTGTAAAGTGACACTGCTGTAAAACAATTAATCTTTGAGTCTTGACCCACGATACACAGTAGTTTGTAGTTCATTCATCATGTATTGTATGATTCATGTACATTATTAATCAAGCTGTTTGTTGTGATGATCATCATTGGGAATTGGTCAGAAGCTGTATGTGTTGATGACTGATGTAGATGTCAAGGGAAAATGCAAGGATCGATAGATCCCAATTTCTAAGTTTCAATTTGAAGTGAAAAATGCTATGTTCAATAGGTCAAATGTCTACATTTCAAATAGAAATATTAGATACCATGTTAGATATATCTAATGTCTACATTTCAAATAGAAATATTAGATACCAGGCTGCATATATCTAATGTCTACATTTCAAATAGAAATATTAGATACCAGGCTGCATATATCTAATGTCTACATTTCAAATAGAAATATTAGATACCAGGCTGCATATATCTAATGTCTACATTTCAAATAGAAATATTAGATACCAGGCTGCATATATCTAATGTCTACATTTCAAATAGAAATATTAGATACCAGGCTGCATATATCTAATGTCTACATTTCAAATAGAAATATTAGACACCTAGCTGGATATATCTAATGTCTACATTTCAAATAGAAATATTAGACACCTAGCTGGATATATCTAATGTCTACATTTCAAATAGAAATATTGTAATAATTCTTGACTTAATATGTTAAACCACCAAACACTCAAGCAGATGAGCTGTAATAGTGACATGTTGATAGTTACCTTACGTCACACTAATCACATGACCTTTATAAAACCCCTCATTTACAACAATATTAAATATATTTCAGCTTAAATTAACATTATTATTGAGTGTTCACTTTCTTGTTCTCTCTCCCCTCCTCCCCTTTTCCCTGCTCTGCTCTCCGCAGCTCTCTCTCTCTCTCTCTCTACCATCTTCTCTCTCTCCCCTTCTCCCCTCTCTCCCCTTCTCCCCCCCCCCACTCCGCGCTCCTGACCACTTGGCTGATGACTTAAAGCTTTCACTTCAGAAATTCTTTTTTAATTTGATTAATGACTATTTTTATTGGCCTGTTATAATGACATGCTAATAAGGACACAAGAATTTAATCACAGTTATTCAGTAATCAATAAATAAACCCCCAACAGTAGTAATTTCTACCTGTATAAATGCCAGGAATATTTCTACCTTGGTGCCAATCTATTTAATATTATCTCATTATCACCAGGTAACAATAGTTGAATAGTAATAACTGGCAGTGATTAGAAATGCGTAGGTTTATTTACGGAACTAGTATAACAATCGCCAAGTTATTCACACGGAACAATGACAGAAACGTTCGTGTTGAAAACACGAAGATATTTTCTTGCTCCACCAAACGTAGGTAATGTAATTATTTTGTTCATTTCCTCGTCATTTCTACCTTAAAATCTCTAGTTTATTCAATGT